TCTTGAAATGGGCCATTTTTAAGACCTGCATTTGACAACTCTGAGCCCTGGTCAGCTCTAAGCCTGGGGCTTCTAGAACCTCTTACCTGTTTTTTTTTTTTTTATAGAGACCTTGCTTGTGTCTGTACCTCCTCCCTGCCTGCACCGTAAGAACACCCTCTTAGACGTCTGCTACCTCTTTAACTCTTCCTCAGTATATATCACAATAAATCTAACATTTGCCCATGTGGCTGACATAGCTTATTCATGATCTTGCCCCCGTTTTTTGTATAACTTACTTCTGGATAAACATAGACTACATTTTATATTTGCTTCCTGAGCAACAAAAGGAAACATTATTTTTCCTTATTGGGGCTGAGAAAGTGGTATCTAAATATGGCGCTTTTACATGTTACTTATTTTAAACTAAAGGCTATTGGAAGGCCTCAGAGTCAAAGTCTGTAGAACTATCTCCCATCTCTTCTATTTCTTGCCCTGTATATTCTTTGAAAGAGAGACATAGAAATGAGAATTTCTCTTCCCCAAGGCAGATCTTAAAAACGAGATGCGCCCCCCAATAAGCCACAAAGCCTACTTTTTCACTTCCTGTGTAAGAGCTGTGTACTGACCTGACTTTGTCTGATAGCAGGACATAGACCCTCTTTCCAGAGGAATGTTTCCCAGGGGGAAGAATTGCTAACAGAGAGACCAGGGAAGTCCAGACAGCTTTGTTAGCGTCCAGGTTCGGTCCCCACACACCCTTGATCCAGTGTGTTTCTGTGTGGCTCTCCCTGCTTATCAAACCTGCTAGGAAACAGATACTTCCCACTGCATCTTGGCTCTGCCCTTGACCACAGGAAAAAGGGTGCTGCTCCCTTCTCTTATTACAGTATTGGCACCCAGTGTGGGACCCCCTGAGACACCCGGCTCATTCCAGAGCTTACAGATGAGACGTGGGACAGCTGACAAAAAAAGCTGGCAAGTAAGAAATGTTATCACGCTATTCCAGATCTCTGCTGCAGGGCCTGGTTGCAAATGGGAGCTAAATTCTTCCCTGGGTCTTTTCCTCTCCAAATTCACATTAAGAGAAGATCGGAGACATTGGTTCTAAGACTGTTTCTGAGATGTTCCCCTGCCTGTTAGTTCAAAGTATTCCACGTAACCAAGTAGGGCAGTGTACATCTGTAATGTAAGCACAGAACTCAAGAGGTTGCAGCAAAAGGGCCACAAGTTCAAGGTTAGCCTGGACTTCATTCTGAGGCTAAGTCTTAAAACTTAAAAAAAAAACAACCCTAAAAATAAACAAAAAGACGAACCCAACCAAACTCAAAATACTCAGTGTGCCATGCCAAATGCCATACTGTGTGTTGTGTGTGTGTGTGTGCGCGCATGCGTGCTTGTGTGTATCTGTCTGTCTGTCTGTCTGTATAGTGCTAGAAATTGAGCCCAGGACAAGCACTTTGTCCCCAAGCTATGGCTTCAGTCTTGGCATCGTTTTCCTGAACCACAATACATCCCACCCCAGGTGGCTGTGAGACCACAGTGCTGTGTGGCTCATGGATTCCACGAGAGAAAATTCCCAGTACCTGGGAAAACTGTGAACAGACAGAGATGGAGGAAGAAAGCAAAATAATTTTTTTTCTTTTCTAAAGTAATGTACAGGAAGAAATTACAATTTCAAAGCTTAGCAGAGCTATCTTCCCAGTCCTGAAAATATGAACATATTTCATCATTAAATTTTGCATTTTACAAAGCAAAGGGGGAAAAAAGCTAGGCCACGTGCTGATCCTATAGAACTCACTGGCGATAGAAACAGCTTATTTTTAACCCGAAAGTATCTCGTAACTGGCAAAGCAAACTCCGCAGGGATTTGAGGATCTGCTCTTCCCTCAGCCACCAGCACGTCCCCATAGAGTGTTTGTTTAGTTGCGATAGAAGGTGGAAGCAGATGGAAGGCAAGAGCTCATAATTAACAGTGTTTGTCACTGACGTCTTCAGCAGACCAGGAGGGGCTGGCCCAATCTCAGGGTTAGGGCTGGCTGAGTGGAACTCTGCCTCGATATCAGCCACAAGCCCATGTGAGGCCACCAGCAGCTAAGCCCCACAGAGAGGGTGGGGAGAAGATATGGTGGTGGGTACAGAAACATTCTAGAAAGTGTGTGCTGGTTGACATGTACAAGAAGTGTCAGAATGTTTTAAACTCTTACATCTACTTTTGGTTCAATTTAATTATTTTTTAACTTTTATGGCTCTATGATACTCTAGACATTGAACCTAGGGCTGCCCGTGCCAAGCAGGCATTCTAGCATATAAGCAAATAAAAGTTCTTGGTGCTATACTCTCAACTATATTATATTAGTATTTCGAATAGTGTAGGTGGGAGCTGAGAGAGCCCTAATTAACCCTTCATAATTTATTTTAGCATAGATCAGTATAGCTGACTTAACAGAAAAGAAAAAAGGGCTTTAGTGCCACCACCTACAATCCTGCACTGGAGTTCCCGGCCAGTGACACCATGTCTGAATATGGCCATTGATCAAGGAGAATCTGTTTTTTTCAGGGACAAGACCCTCTCCCCCTCAATCTTTTATCTAATCCCAAGTGCTCAGCCCTAAACACATGGGTATATGAGCAACATTAAATGGACTCAGTAGGTCAAATTACATACCAATAATAATTATAGAAGAAGAAGTCATGAATATAAGGAGAGGGAATGGAGGAGTTGGAGAGACGAGAGGGAGGGCTGGAGATGTCACAAATGCAGTGTCTTCATGTGTGGAATCCCATTATTGTCCTGTTCCCCTGTACCTGGTGGGTACTTGGCAACTGTGGACAGCCAAGGGAGTGAAACCTACCTAGTGAGCTCATCTTGTTTAGAGAACATTCAGGACAAGCATCTGACTAGACAAGGCTTGGGATGGAAACTTCAGATCACATCATGGCCTCTGCATAGGGTCACTTTGTTCATCTCTGATCTCTCTGTGTGCACTATGATTGTGGCTAGTCACACACGTGATCTTCTGGTCATCCTGGCAGTGTTAGATGATGGCACTACCTGTTTCTGTGACATAGTTCAGAGATGAGCCAGTATGGGAGACAATGAACATATTTGCAAGGTGTAACCGTACCCCATTTTAAACCATTGTAGATTAGATTTCTTAATCCTTCCCATTTGCGCTCCTGGACTAACGAGGACAAGGAGGTCTCCCAACTTACAGTCTTTGTTTTCCCTGACTCTTATCAAGAGGGAGAAGTGGCAGCTAAGCCTCTATATACTTGTCGTCCTGACTACAGCTTGTACTCTGAGAGTTTAGCATTTGATTAGAGCTTTCGGGATCTTACTCAAGTGAGGCTCCATTTTAGACTGTAAAGGCGGGGGCAGCTTTTACTTCCTGATTGCTGTTTGTGGTTGATTTTCCTCTGAACTGGGATCGTTAGGCTGTTTGAGGACACGAGTTTGTTTGGCTTCTTGCCCAAGGTCCCTGAGAATTTCATTATAGAAGGTTCCTTTCCTTCAGGTTTCAGGCCAACAGTGAAGGGCTTTTGCAAGGAAATGGCTTTAAAAAAGAAAGAAAAGAAAAGAAAATAGAAGCACATTTTATTTAGAAAAATAGGTCAATAAGAGAATAAAGAGATAGACCACAGCTGGAAAAAACATTTGTAAAACATAATTTGAAAAGGATTGACATCTGAACATATCAAGGACTCGCCCTGTTTTTATTTATTAAGCACTGATAAAACCTGTAGAAAAACTACCCCAAAGTGCTCGTCAGTTTGAAATATTAGTCTTGAGAAACATGGTCAACTGGGAGCCCTTCTCCCTCTGCCGTGGCTCTGTTCTCTATTTCAGGCCTAACTTCTCCCTGCAAAAGCCTCTCTTTCCTTAGATTTAACCTCAGTTCAAAATCTACAGGTAGCATACTATAATATACGTCTGGTGGACTGTCTCGTAGAACCAAGCATCTAATAACGTTTCCAACTGTATAGGGTCTCTGTTCTTCAAGGTCATTGACACAGCTTTAAGATGTGTGTTCCTGCTAACATTGATAGCTGGGCGTGTTCCTTGGAATTGTATTCCATTCTTCCCCTCAGTGGGTACAGTTTCCTGACTCAATTTCATCAGGAATCTTTGAGCTCCACCGAGCCTCTGTCCCCCTTCTGGCCCAGCTCTCCGTAGAGGAGAGCAACAGAAAAAGCTAAAACTCAATTAGCAGTTGTGCTCCTTAATGTGCCTCTGTCAGGTGCAAAAGAAACAAATGGCTAACTGTGGTGCCTATTAGCATACCACAGCCTGTGCTGGCTCCAGGCTCGCTCAGCTCAGCGTGGAAGGTAAACCCTTGCAGAGTCCTTGCTGGCATCGTGACTCCCCTCAGCTCTTCTCACCCCACTGCCTACCCTAAACTTCTCTAGCCCATGAGCTCCCCTTCCCCCAGCTTCTCATTTCTATAGAGCCCTGCTATTTCAGTCCTGCTTTCTCTCTGGCTCTCTGTTGACTCTCTCTTTCAGTCCCCCCTCTCACTCTGCCCCCAGCTCCTCTCCTCTGATGGCCTGATACATTCTGTTGGCCATGCCCAGTCCACTACTTTCTCTCTGTGTTCTAGACTCTTTCCGATGCCGCTGACTGTACTCTCCCTCACGTCTACAATAGAACCTTCCCCTCCACGGTTCCTTCCTGTTGTCACGTCTGCCAGCACTTTATATGGTATCCAAATGGGCCAAAAGCTTATCTACACACAAACGTATTCATTTTATTCAAAACTGCCCAACCTTCAAAGCAATCAATATCCCTATTACTAGATAAAGAAACTGTTGCATATCAGTAGAATGAAATGTTATTATCAATCATAGCGCAGCAAGCCGGACTGTGGGTCTAGCTCAGTAGTAGAGCCTGTGATTACTGTGCTCAAGGTCGTGGGTTTAGTCATAGCCCCGAAACAAGATAAGCAAGGAGCTACTCTGCTGGTGTCCCACCACTGTGACCGAAACACCCGAGAGCACAGGCTGAAGGAGTAGTTGTTTATTTTAGTTCGAGATTTCAAAGCTTTCAGCCCATAGTCCATGGCTCCCCGGTCCTGGGCCTGTGGTGGGGCAGGACATGGTGGTAAGAACATGTGGTGGGCATGATTTATCTCACGGTAGACAGTAACTGGAGAGAGAGGGAAAGGATTGGAGTCAGGTACAACCTTACCACGATGTACTATGCTTTTAAATTATGAGCCACACAAACCTGCCTTCATTTAAAAGAGAAACACGGAGGGACCTTAAATGCTTATTCCCAGGGTGGACGAAAGCAACTTGCAAAGGCTTCATACACGGGACGTGTTTCTAACCATATAAAATTGGGAGTGGTGAGTTCAGGTGGATGACAAAAATATCAGTGGAGTCTAAGGGTTCAGAAAGAGTGAAAGATGAGAATGGTTGAAGTGCGTGATAGTTTCAGGATAACCCAACCTTTCTGCGTGATGCCGGAATGCCGCATGCCTTCTAGTATGTTTTCGTTCAACCCTTCACTCCAGATCACAGAAAGAGGGAACCCAATGTGGACTATAGATGTTAGCTGCTAATGGTGTATTCACATTGGTTCAGTGGGAATGGTAACAGATCATCTACCACTCTCAAGCCAATGTTAACATCAGAAGGCTCCAGAAATGGGGCGGGGGTGGGGGTATAATTTATGCTCACAGCTTCTGTAAAACTAAGACTGCCTTAAAAAATAAGTGTAGTAATTAAAAGAAAATAAAAGGATAGTTCTGAGAGGAGGTGGGGGAGGGGAAGGGGATGGGTGAGGCAATGCTGTGTTTTCTTGGCATTAAGGGTCCAGCAGGGAGGCATTGGGGCGATCTGATGCACAGAAGTCCAGGGTTGACACACAGTCTTAGACCCAACGATGACTGTCATCGTGAGAGGAAGGCAAAGAAAAGGACATTTGGACTGAGTTTGAAGATGAGAAGTGGAAAAATCCAGCAGCTTCTACAGCCCAAAGCACTGGAGAGGTCATCAAGGAAATTATCTGAAATTTGGGATTGGAGTCAGAGTTGTCTGACTCAAGCATCCTTGAAACGTGATTGTGATTGTGATGGTGCGGAAATGTGTGCTGTCTTCAGAATGTTTACTGTGTACATGGTGTTCACACACAGCCCTGACCAGAGAGCCGGAGACCTGAAGCAAGAAACGGAGATTTTCATCTCTGATTCTCTGAAGGGAATCTTACCCCACTCGGCTTTTCCTTTAAATGTATTTCACGGAACCACTTGCCGTTTCTTAATCAGTGCGTTTCATGCTCCTGTTCTCCGAGGCCGTTTCCTGCTTCTCCTTCTCCTCACCCTGCAGGTTTATGTTCTGTTGGTTTTGTTTTTAAGAAAATACCGTCAGCTCATTCAGGATCTTTCTGTGGTTGTTACATACCTATTTATTCTCTCTCTCGCCCCTGCCTCCTTCTTAATGGGATGTTTGTGCTTCTCAGGAGTGGAGTCCACTTTGTCCTGCTGCTCACATTGTCACCGGTTTGGAGCCAGCTGCAGGGTTAGGTAGCGACAACATAAATACCTTGAGAGAAATCAAAACAATGATTGTTTTCCACAGTGCCGTATTGGACAGCTTCCAAGGGCAGGTGGTGCTTTCTGAAGAACATTGTGTTACAGAGAGCGCATGGGCTAGAGAAAGATCTACTTCACACCTCTGCCTAGTGTGTGTCCGGTTCACACCTCTGCCCTTCACTCTCAGAATCCTTAGACTCCATTGATAATTCCCTTATCTATCTGAGCTCACCATGAAGCCTTCGCGAGCTGCTTTCGTCCACCCTGGGAATGAGCACTTAAGGTCCCTCCGTCTCCTCTTTTAAATGAAGGGAGGTTTGTTTGACTCACAGTTCAAAAGCATAGTCCATCACGGTGGCAGAAGCCACTTGAGGCTGTAGTGACAAGAGACAAGAGCTTTCTCACACCTGGGTAGGTTAGGAGCAAGGATGGGGGGTGCTCTCACGGCTCTCTGCCCCTTTTCCTGACAAAATTATTCTGCCAGTCTGGGCCTTGGAGGTACAGGGCACATCTCCCGTCAAAAGATAGAGAACTTTGATCTCCTGAGGTCTCATTCTACTGAAGGCTGTGTGATTGCTGGGATGCAGGAAACAATATCTACTCAGACTAATAAATGGCAAACTGTTGCCAGGTCCTTTTGAGCCACCGTTCCTGTAAGTACCTGTGAGCCTAGAGTATGCAATTAGCAACCTTAATAATATCCTTTACTGAACATTGTCTGAGCCTCTCGTCAGTGTGAGCATGCAAACTTGGGGAGCAGTGGTATTGGGAAGAGATGGGAGCAGGTGGTTTGATGGGTCAGCAAACCCTCCCAGGAACTGAAGGAGGCAGCTAGGTAAAGGCTTCCAGATTTTGAGCTCTGCTCTTGCTGGTCTCCTGAATGGCAGCAGGCACAGAGCCCCTGGGCAGAAGCAGCTGGAAGCCATGCAGAGTCACTTGGTGGGGGGGGTGGAGAACAACTAAGCATCCAGGTTTCCCTTAATGTGCTGTCAAAGCTGAGCTGTGGGCTGCTGTGAACTGCATGGCTGTGGGTGGAGGGAAACACCAGAAAAGGGTCCACAGGAGGATAAAAAGCTGAGGGAGAGGTGAAGAGGGTGGGAAGATGAAAGGGATCCAGGACACCAGACGCCTTCCCGACAGGCCTCAGGGAAAGTGCTGGCTAAAGAGGATTTTGAGGGGGGTTCCCTGTGTGTTGAGGGCACATACACCCCTTCCAGGCTGCACCCTGGATCTAAAAACTATGGGAAATCTAAAATGAGTCTACCACCTTTTATATATCAGTGCTTTTGCACAGCTGTTGGGTGCTGAGACGGGCTGAGGGGAAAAGGCTTTGGGTAGGCTGTCAGGAAGATACTGTGTGGTGCGTGTGTGTGCACGTGTTTGGGTGAGTGCATGCACGCGTGTGTGTTCATGTGTGTGCCACAGCCATTGCGGAGGTCAGAAGGCAATTTCGGTGAGTTGATTCTCTCCTTCTTTCCATGGGTTCCCAGAACTGAACTCACGCCATCAAACCTGCACTCCAAATCTTATGTGCTGAACCACCTTGCCTGCTCATCAGCCGTGGTTTTCCGGTTCATAACTCCCTCCCCAGCACAGGCCGTGGAAATGATGATTCCCATTTCCCAAGGCTGGACGTAGAAACACAAATCTTCTCAGACTTACCTTATCCAATCCAATGATAACTCCCAAGAGAGCCATATCAGGAGGGAGGCTGCCCTCCACTTTGGAGGAAGGACTGCTGCCCAGAGAAATCAGGAGAAGGCTCTGGGCAGGCATCGGTGGGCTCCCCAACTCTGTTAATATCAGGTCACACTTTGCTGTCCACTCACATTTCTGTACCGTGCCCACGCTCAGTTACACTGAAGTGATGTCATCTGCATAGACACCTCAGGACAGGTGATGGAAACTTCCAGATGACAGAAAACGTGGAGGCTCCTGGAGGGCTGTTCTCCTAGAGAGGGGGTACGGGCTTTGTGTCTGTCCTTACAGCCCTGCCCTGTTCGCTTCTCCTCTGGACTCCTTGTCATGAACCAGGAAACGTGTTTCTCTGCGCTCTTTAAGTCAGATGCTAGCGAACTAAACGTGCTCAATAAAGGATCTGTAGGGCTGGAAAGATGACTCAGTGGTTAAGGACCAAAACCTGGGTTCAGTTCCCAGCACCAACAGGGCAGCTCACCATCATCTAGAACTCTGCTTCTAAGGGATTCCATTCCCTCTTCTGGCCTCTATGGGCACTAGGCACATATGTGCTGAACAAACATGAAGAAAAAACACCCACATACATAAAATAATAAAAAGAGAAAATTAAGAAATGAATAAGTATTTCATAATAAAAGCACATTTAGGGCTCTCCAAGCACGGTCAAGGCAAGTGTTTGGCTCAGGTCTGTTTAGTGTTGCCACAAGGAACGTGAGTAATAGAAAAGTAACGTTCACAGGTTGTTCCTGATGACGAACTCTGGGAGACATGGCTGATTGCCTGTGTGGAGTAACGTAGGGAAGCAATGATGCCGGGAAGAGAGGCTCCACATCTCCCACAGCTTCTCTGTCCCTGGAGACAAGCAATCCCTGGGTTCTGGAGTCAGGAGCACACACTGTGAGCCCGTGTCTGAGTCGCCTAGGACACACTTTGGGTTCTGGAGTCAGGAGCACACACTGTGAGCCCGTGTCTGAGTCGCGTAGGCCACACTCTGGGTTCTGGAGTCAGGAGCACACACTGTGAGCCTGTGTCTGAGTTGTCTGTAGCTCCAGCTTGCTCTTTCTGCCTCTCTTGTGTCTATTCTGCACGTGTCCTCCCTGGTTCCTATCCACTTCCTTTCCTTCCAGGGTTTGTGACTGCTACCATTTTCCTTCTGGACTCCAGCTCAGACTCAAGTGTGGTCTCTCCTGCCCTCCTTAGAAGCACAGATTTGAATCCTTGAGGTGAGGGAAACAAAGCACCCCTTGTCATCCACCTTGCTTTGAGCTAAGGTAGAATTAAGGAACAGGCAAATCTCAGTGCCTTCATTTTATCTGCCTAAGAGAGAGATGGTTCCCCTCCTCTTTCTTGCCCTGGGAAGGGAATAACTCTTAGCATTAGAGACAGAAAATCCATTCTGAGATGGGTCTGTACTAACATGTGTTCCAACCTGCTCTTATCCATCATTTGTTTTCCCACAAGCTTTACTTCCCACGATTTATCGCCCCTCAAAGCTTACTGCCATGCTCTCTGTCATGATGGTCATGGGATCTCACCCTCTGAAACCACAAGCCCCCAATAAACTCTTTCTTCTGTAAGTTGCCTTGGCCATGATGTCTCTTTAGAGCAACAGGGAAGTAACTGCGACACATCTCGTATGAAATTTGAATTTATGGAATACTTATGCTTTATATTGATTGGATGCCAGATTCTATAGATAAACATATGCCCTCTAAATTGTTCTATGCTTTTGATTATTCTCTGACAATGCTTCAAATGCCATTGAGGTACCTGTTAGCCTGTTTGAAGTTCTTACCCAATCCACTAGGAGCATTTATACACTGCTTTCAGAGTTCCTCTCGACCTGTGTCTGGCTTTTCTGATCTCTTATACTTGACTATAGCACTGCATCTTCTTTTTCGTTCCTTGGAGTGAACTTATAATTCCCAAAGGAGAGGACCGAATCCTGACTGGCCTAGGCTTAGTCTTTCAGTGCATCATCCCTGGGCTGAAGCAAGCATTGCTCCTTTCTTTGTGTCCCTGACTTTGACCTCGTCTTCCTCCTCCCACCCCAGTTCCAGCGGACACTGGAGGCAGAGAGGCCAACTGAGTCTGAGACATGACTACGCACAGGTCTGTCTGTCTGCAGTGACTTTGGAAAAAATCTCTCTTAGATGCCCTGCTGAGTTCAGGTGGCAGACAGGAAAAGGAAGACATTTGCAGGGTGCCAGAGCAGTGAGCACAGGAAAGCTGTTTCACTGAAAGATTCAAGGTTTTCCTTTTTTAACCATAGGAGGGATTTATGTACAGTTGAGGGAGTTCGGAAGATAAGAAACAGGTAGAAGATAATTATGCTACCTGAGGCATTAGCTACGCTTCAGGGGATGTGATCTACTGCCCATGTACCTAAATAGGGCATCAAGAACAGACAGGTATAGCTCCACCACGTCCAATACATTTACTGGGATTACTTATAAAGCATCAAGAAGGGATAGTCTTACAGGAACACGAATGAGCCCCAAACAGTTGTATCACTGCCAAGCCCCACCATGTCATGATGCCCTCCTTTCTGTTAACCTCCCACTTCCTGTGAACCTTAACAGTTTTCAAGATCACTTGCAATTGGAGATGGGCAGGAGGGAATAACGGCTGCATTTCCAGATGCGAGTCCTGAGACCCTTCCCTCTCCCTTCTACTAGGAGGTGTCAGTAACTCCATCACTTTCACTCTATACATAGCTACCTCCGTACTTTCTCACTTAGTTGCCATGGCTACGTGACCAAGGTGGTATCTACACCAGGATGATAACAGGGTGAACATGCTCTGTGCCGAGGAAGAAAGGCTATATTATAACATCATTCAAAAATTTTTTGCATCTTGATGTGGGATACCCCTCTGTATGTTGTGATTTTGTCTTATTACTGTGGCAGGATAGAACATAGATGGGCGGGAAATCTAAGCAGAGATAGAGAGAGAAAGAAGGCGGAGTCAGCGAAGACATGTGAGCAACAGCCATAGAAGCAAGATGTGAGGTAACAAGTCACGAGCCTCATGACATAATACAGACAAATAGAAATGGGTTAATTTATATTGTAGGAGCTAGTTAATAATAAGCCTGAGCTAATAGGCTAAACCATTTGTAATTAATATAAGCTCCTGCGTGATTACTCTGGACTGGGCATCCGAGAAACGAAAGAGTAGCCTCTGATTACAGCATTTCCTTTTATCTGTTCTGTGCTTTATTTTTATATGGCTAATTTTATACTTTGCATGTTATCATGAAGGCTGA